TTCTGTATGTAGGTATGTGTATGTATGTATGTATGTATGTACGTATGTATGTATGTGTGTGTACGTATGTCTGTCTGTCTGTCTGTCTGTCTGTCTGTCTGTTTGTATGTCTGTCTGTCTGTGTGTCTGTCTGTCTGTCTGTCTTTGTGTTTGCTGGTTTGCTTATTTCTAACTCAGCAAGACCTGCATGGCAAGGTACTGACTTTTGCCATTGGGCAATATGCTGTCGTCTAGATGGTATCAAAATGCCAAAGTGCCAAAGTCACCGTCGCACGCATCTCTAGCGATGTGTCACTATGCAAGCAAGCTTCAAGTTGCCTAGACTATGCAGAAGAACCTAGCAAACTGCATTTCTGTCAAGGCTCGAAGCCTGAAACTTGGCTTCACCAGATCGGGTGATGAGGCGACCTTGTGCAGAGCTGCAGCTTTGCCAAGAATTTGCTCGCACTGTCTCGCACTCCTCGTTGCGGTCGGGCAGCGAAACACCAGCGTCTGGTCGCCCTCTACAGCATCACCAACCTCGGACAGGTTGCTTCTCAAACCATCTGAAAACCACCGACAGGCACGATGTCGATCGCAAGGCCGAGTGGAGAACGTAGGTGAGCTCAACTGAGGCCGTGCGCCTAAGAGTCGATCACATCCGAATCTCAACGAGGCATGGTAGGACACGGACAGCTCTCAAAAGCACTGATTCATGATGCTTCCCTCGGACATTTGATGACTGCACACTCAAAAATCTCCAAGAATGCGCACGTTTATTTTTGTCTTCAGGAGCGGCCTGAATCGTGGAAACATGACGCACGTTCCAGATTGTGGACTTCAGACTTCATGCCGCCGTGTCGTCAGCACGCACAAGTCACGATGCTCTCGGCGAAAAAATATGTCCACAAGGGTTTGGAGAAGACACTTCTGGACTTCGAACATGTTGCCCTGTCTCCCGTTGGCTGGGACATGAGAGCTGCTAAAGATTGAGATAGGTTCACATCATGCGCTGTAATGCGAAACACGAAAGCCATTTTGGAGTTGGTCTGGTTTTGCCCCATTCGAGCGGTTAGCAACCTGCGGATGCCGTATCTTGGACTTGCGAGGTCACGTGGTGGGATGTGCTGCGATTTGGCACCACCATGGCCTCGCTACGTCAACAATACCCGATGTGCCATGGCTCTTGGCAGATGCCCAGCGCTTGTGCGCAGTCTGCTGCCATTCATGGCATTTCTTATTTTGTTGAGAGGATGGGCATGGGCATCGCTGGAAAAGAATTTAAGACTCTCCACATTGGCACTGGCAAGTTTGGGGCTTCACTCTCCCATCCATCTTTGACATAGCAATGCAAGTCATCTTGCTGATAGACTTCACTTCAGCGAAAGCTTGTGGATTTGGTGAGCTACCTGGTATGTAAATGTGTCCCGCAAACAAACGGACGCCTCCTCGTGGTCGTTTATGCTCCGTCCGTGCCCAGATGCAGACTTGGGCCACGGCTGATTCTTCTTGGGGTCCTGGTGGCTACAGCGTCAGGGGTGACACACAAGGCGGAAAAGTGTAAAGCGGACCGTCGAAGCCTCGCGGCCACGGGACTCATGCGCTTGCAAAGCTTCCAGAGAAAAAAGTCATAAGAGTCCACGAGTCAGAATGTATCACACCCCATGATGGTGCAAAGTCAGCTCTAGTCTCTAGTTCGTAATCCACTCAGGCCATGCGCCTCATCTCCCCATTGGATCTTACGATTCTGGCACAGCTCTGTCGCATGTCCATGCATTAGACATCGGTAAAACCGTAGTCAAGATACCTTGCTCAGGTTGAACCAATTCATGTTAAGCCTCTGTCATCACCCTCGGTCAGATATCCTAGTTTCAGACGGACTCAACTGACCTGCTAGTGCATCCGTGATTATGGGAAATGCTCCGCAAAGATGATCCAAGGCCTGCTCCAACATGTTCCAGGGGACCACGACCGTCTAATACCGACTCCATACCACAAATCTTTGGTACGTCAGAGGCTCGTCAGTGATCGCATGCGTTTGTACTCTTGATTGCTCAGTCGATCCTAGCGCCTCTTGATGCCTCTTGCACTGGATGCCCGGAGCCACAGTTTCCCCCCCATCGCGTGTCTCGTTGCGCACAAAGTGTCTGGGCAGAGGCAATCCTCCTTCTCTGTGCGGTAGACCAAATCTCGAAGACGTTCGCCTCGCAGCTGCCGAGCCTGGCACTAAAGAGAAAGTCTAAGTGCGCCACAGATGCAGAAACACAGCACCCACACTGCCCAGGGCCTGAACTCCAAGAACGAAGCTGACAGCATCCATGAGGTTCGACCTGTGCGGCTCGCTCAAGGAACGAAGCACAGCACGGAACAGTCCTGCTTGAACGGGCCCTCAGGTTTCAGCTTTCCAGCACCGTTTGGCCCGATGATGCAAGTGAACTTCCTGGCCAAATCACCGACGCAGACATACGCACAACCAGCGACAGGTCAAGAACGCGACTTGCACGAGTCACGGTACTAGGGGGCTGCAAATTACCACGGTCTTAGATTTCGATGTTCTTAGTCTGTTTACAGAACTGCTCAGGTTTTCGACATCCCAGCGAGCTTGAAGGGACCAACACGGACTCGATCGTGGTACGACCTCAGTCAGGCTTGTGACGCATGGCACATGTACGCAATGCTTCTGAGGAGGCTGTGTGCACCAGTGAAGCTGGAAGCTAGTAACTAAGTAGGAGTAGGACATAGTAGCACATCAAACTGAGGAATGGATCGAGAATCTGGCTTGAAGTTCTCGATGACCATCTCGTGGACCCGCCCCATATCTTCAAATTCCTTCAGCTGGTTGCCACCACTTCGAGCGGGTTTCAGTGAAGAATAGATGTGCTGTGTTGCGCTGCCACGCACGGACAGCTGATGATATGAGCATGTTCTGTTTCGATGTGCAAATGTCCGCCAACTTATGAAATGAAGCTTTCTGGCGTCACATGAACTCGTATGCCAAGCCTTGGGCGCTATCCCTGAAAAACCGTAGATATAGTAACATGCTAAATGAAGTTCGACTCTCGATAGCCTTTGGGAAGAGGTTCTGATGCGACCTTAAACTGTGGAAGAAGCGGAAGGCCTGGGAGCAGATGGCGTGCGAACATGCAAGACTTCTTGAGCCAAAGACTGCAAACTCAGGTTTTGCGCCAGATGCCGGGACTCGACTGCATGTTCTGGACTGTTCCGGTCCCCTCAACCGGCATAACCGCACAGCATCGAAGAATATGACGACATGTTCACCGAATGTTGCCCATCTGCTGAATCACACGCTTCAGATGTGCTGCTAAGCGACTGCCCTAGTTTCTGAGGCAGGCGCATCGACCCGGCACACCGTGTAAGCCTTTTGGGCTGCACGACATGGCCGCACTTCCACGAGTATGGACAGTTATGAACACATTGTCCATAAGCTTCGGTGATTTGCACAATGAATTAAGTCATCGTGGTTGCCAGTAGAAGAATGCCTACGACGCAGGCTGAAGCTGCTGAAGTTTAAAGTTCAACTTCTCGAGATTCAGATTGGGCCCTTGGACTGACTGAGAAACGGAGGACATGCCCAGGCCGGTCTTCAGTCTCCGGACGTCTTCGCCCAAGCTTCGCATGTAATGTTGCACCGACTGAAGCAGTCTCAGAACTTGGATGTTGTGTGCAGGTATTTCCTGCAGCAAGAGCAAGAACCCCAAGAAACAGCAGAATGTCATGATATGCAACTGCAGCGCGTCCCGGTGCCCGGAATCTCGTCCTGAAGAAACATATTCACCAAGCCGTCGATGAACTCATCTTGCGTCAATTCTCCTGCCGTCATCATGTAGACACCGACTCATCATAATCGAGTATAATGCCAGACACCAGACCATCACCGTAATCACATGGTTTCTGCCATCACCATCACCATCATCGCCATCTCTGTATCTTGTCGTCGTTTGTCATCCTGACCATCACCGGCACCATCACCATCACCGTGCTCCTCACATTGCATACAAACAGCATTATCATCACCACCACGGACAACAAAATGCTGGTCATCCTCATGCCATAGAGCTCTCAATGCTGACTCCATGAGGCAAGCATGCCTGCATATAATGCCTTTGTATACCTCTCTGCAATCCCCTTTCGAATATTCTATGGAGACGCCTATAGATAAGGATTCTAACTACGGAAAACCAGTCGGAGCTCAAGATCTGAGAAGCCCCCAGTTGAGCTGTAGCTTCTGGGTACGGGGCTCCTATGAAGGAAATCAGGAACCAAGACGAATATCCTTACAACTACCTTTTAGAAGGCCTTACAACTACCTTATAGAAAACCCCTCTATGTATTTTAAAGAACTTCGTATAGGATACCCTACCGAAATACCTTTCTAAATATAGTCTACAGAATACGTTCTGTACAATGCCATATGGAGATAGAATACCATATAGAATACCCTGTAGCAGCACACTTTACACAAGACCGCCTATGTAATGTACCCGCTGTATACCTTAAACATAATTTATAGAATTTCCTCTACAATACTTTTTAGAATACCCTTAAGAATACTTTAGAGGATACCCAAAGCCTTTTCGAAAATAATTAAAATAAGGACAATCAGGAGAAGCCCAAGATCTGAGAATTCACCAATTAAACGTTAGCTTATTGATGCTTATTGGATACGGGACTTCTAAGAAAGAAAACCGGGAATCTAGGAGAATGCCTATAGAATACCTTGCAGAATGCCCTTGCTACAAATTTTAAACAAAATTCAATAATATACATACGGTGATACCTTATAGAAACTTTCGTATATGTACACCCCAAAGAATACCTTACACAACACCGCATGGGATACCCATGGAATACCCAATGGAATGCTATAGAATACTTTATACAATGCCCACTATACATATATATATACACACACACAGTATGCTATATAGGCTACCACGAGGAATACTTTATAGAATACCTTACAGAATACCCCATGTATGTGATACCCCATATATACCTTATTATATATACCCATATGAAATTTGGTGCTATCGAACCACAGTTCGCTGATCTCATTTTCGGAAAACCCAGCGGTCCGATAGCACCAAGTTTTCTGAAACGGCACCCTCTGAAAAAGTTGATGCTATCGAACCGCCGCACCTTGTTGTCTGTATTTGCAATGGATACCACAGCGGTTCGACAGAACCATTTTTGCTCAAGCAAACCCTTCGGAAAATCTGTTGCTGTCTGAAGGTCTGGAAGACGCAGCGATTCCGCTAGCAGCGCAATTTCTGAAACGACACTCTTCGGAAAATTTGGCACTTTCGAATCGCCAGTGTTTGTTGTCCGAATTTGCAACGGACAACACAGCGGTTCGATAGCTCCAGTTTTCAGAAGGAAACGGGTGAGGCGACAGCACATACAGCTCCCGGATTTGGCATTCATTGGACAAATAGCTTTACAGTACATACCAAGCCTATTGAACTCAATAAGTTCCATTGAATTCAATAGGGCTGTCGGATTGAAGGTTGAAGATTGAAGATGCTTCAGAAGACATTCCCAGGGCATCCTCAATCTTCAATGTTCAATCCGACAGCCCTGCTGAGTTCAATAGGGCCTATTGAACTCAATAGGGTTCCCGGACTGTGAAAAGAGGATTCCAAAGACAATCGACGATCAACTATAGTTATATCATGGGTTCAATGTTGCCCCTGAGCCCCAAAGTCCGTAGATACTGCAAACATTTGGGATGGCAGGAGCCATGGACCCACAAGGAGCACAGCCTTACTCAGCTGGAGGCAAGCGACCAAGATGATTAATGGATTCAAGTTTTACCCCTGAGCCCAAAGTCCGTAGTAGAATATTGTTGGATGGCAGGACCCATGGACCCAGCAGCACAGCCTCACGCAGGAGGCCAAGGACCCGGCTGATTGTTCAAGGTGACCCCGAAGCCCCAAAGTCCCGAGATATGTCACAACGGCAGGACCACCGGTGCAGCAAGCAGCACAGTCAGTTAACGCAGGACACCCAGGACCAGATCTTTATATAATGCCCAGATTCGTTTGTTGGAAATGTTTGAAGCATGTGGGTTGGAAAGCCCGTGATTGAAGCTGAAGCCGGGAAGGAAGGCCCGTCGACTGCTCCAGTTTTTGAAGCCGAATAATCGGAGTCAATTGTTAAGGCTACCGTTACCCCGAAGCCCAAAGTACGTAGGTATGTTTAAAGAAAAAGGATTCGAGGTTTAAATATCCCGCAAACCCTGTTCCTAAACCTCTAAACCCTGAACATATATAAACCCCTGGAGGAGCCTGGTCGGCGCATGACACGGTGGCAGCTCAGGAAGCACTGCTGCACAGGCTGCAACAGGATGGCCGGATCCGCATGGTGCACTGGGAAGAATATAAATACAAATAAATAAATAAATAAATATAAATATATATATATGTATATATTTGTTATATATGTAATTTTTGTTTATGACAACCCTAACCCTAATAAACACATGCTATAGTATACAATCTATATACAGATAGATAGATAGATAGATAGATAGATAGATAGATGGATGGATAGATAGATAGATAGATAGCAAACAAGGTGGCTGTGGCGGCTGGAACGCCGGCTATGGGTACGGAGCAGGGCAGCCCTCACAGCAATGCAGGGAAAGGGGGTGAAAAAATACATTGGAACCTTAACTTATTAAGGCCTTTTTCGAAAACTTATTCTTCCCCATGCAGGATGGGGCGGTGCTTGGGGCCAGCGGCAAGGCTGGGCTGTCCAATTTAAGTTAAATACCTGTACTTGGGATTGCCCCAGCTTGAAACGGAAATCCACACACGCACAAACCCAAACCCTAATACCTAAACCCTGAAAGGTTCAACCCTCCTGGGTTAATAGAACTTATAAGCCCCAAACCTTAATATGAAGCCTGGGGTCACATCCTTTCGAAAGCCTGGGAAGGAACCCACCGAGCTGACCCGGGCTCTGCAAGAGGAGGTGGCAACGATGGTGGATATGGAGGCCGGGTGAGATGCGGTCGTAGTCATATAGGACTAGGGAGTTTTCCCGAACCCGAATACACATATATCGTAAACCCTAAACCAAAAACCTACACCAAAATCTCTAGATGGAACGAGGAACCGGAGCCCCAGTAGATAAATATCAGACTCGAAACCCTAACCCTCAGACCCGAAACCCTAAACCTCAGACCCGAAACCCTAAACCTCAGACCCGAAACCCTACACCTCAGACCCGAAACCCTAAACCTCAGACCCGAAACCTTAACTCCTGAGACCCTAAACCCGAACCCTCAGACCCGAAACCCTAAACCTCAGACCCGAAACCCTAACCCTCAGACCCGAAACCCTAAACCTCAGACCCGAAACCCTAACCCTCAGACCCGAAACCCTAAACCCCAGACCCGAAACCCTAAACCCCAGACCCGAAACCCTAACTCCTGAGACCCTAAACCCTAAACTAACCCTAACTCCTAGATAGAAAAACTGCTTCGCAAAATTGCGGAAGGCAAACAGGGAAAAAGTACTGCAAAATACCTTATTTTCCAGAAAAAAGGAGACCGGTGGATCATGGGGGGAGGGGGGGGGGTGACCAAAAATATAGATACACAGTTCTTTTGGTTTAAACAAGGCTTGGTTTAGCTTTCAGTTGTAATCGGACTTGGCCTGTGGAAGTGGAAGATGAAGAGGAAGTGGGCCTTAGCCCAGCCATCACCCTGACTCTCCGAGGATACAAGATAAAGGGGGAGGGACCAGGAAAGGAAGAAAGGCAGGAGGACAAAGAGGAAAAGCAAGCGGACAAGCAGGAACTGCTACGGGTGAGCTTGGAGTTCGGGTAGCTTGGATCGACGGCAGAGGGAATCAGGAAAAAGAGCGAATGTTAAAGGGGATGGAAACATGGGTTGGAAAGCCCGACCCGGAAGCATGGGTTGGCAAGCCCGCCCCGATTTAGGCATGTATGTATGTATGTATGT